AAATGTGTTCTAAAGTAGCATTTCGTAGCATTTTCTTTGTAACATTTTTTTAATTTTGTTTGTAAAAATTTTAAGACGAATAATCGATTATTCGTATAATTTTTAACGATTATTCGAAATTTTTTTTAAAAATTTTATCAAAAAATTTAATATTTATAAGAAAATTATTCGAAAAGTGTGGTTGGGAAATTTTGAATCAATTAATCGGATACTTTTAATTGATTAATCGAATGTTTTTAATAAACATAACAATTGTTCGCATTATTTTGTTTTTCAAACAATATATTTGGAAATTTTGTAAAAATATTTTCAATCGAATAATCAATTATTCCTATAATTTTTAACGATTATTCGAAATTTTTTTTGAAAATCGTATCAAAAAATCAATATTTTTTAGCCTAAACTTATAAGTTAATTATTCAAAAAGTGTGATTATGAAATTTTTGGTCAATTAATCGAATACTTTTAATCGATTAATCGGATGTGTTTTAAAAAACATAAAAATTATTTGCGTTCTTTTCTTTTAAACAATATTTTCTGAAATTTTGGAAAATATTTTTAACCGAATAATCGATTATTCGTATAATTTTAAACGATTATACGGATCATTTTTAAAAAATTTAACAAAAAATTCAATATTTTAACCTAAACTTATAAGGAAATAATTCGAAAAGTGCCGTTTTGAAATTTTTAATCCATTAATCGAATATTTTTAATCGATTAATCGGATGTGTTTTAATAAATATAACATTTTTCGCAATATTTTCAAACAATTTGAATTATTACTCGTATTATTTTAAACGATCATTCGAATATTTTTTTTAACATTTTTATCAAAAAATGCAATATTTTAGCCTAAACTTATAAGAAAATTAATCGAATACCTTTAATCGATTAACCGGATGTGTTCTAAAAAACATAAGAATTATTTGGTTCTTTTCCTTTAAAACAATATTTTCAGAAATTTTGAAAAATATTTTCACCCGAATAATCGGTTACTCGTATAATTTTAAACGATTATTCGAACATTTTTTAACAATTTTATCAAAAAATGCAATATTTTGGCCTAAACTTATAAGAAAATTATTCGAAATGTGCGATTGGGAAATTTTTAAAAAATTAATCGAATATTTTTAATCGATTAATCGGATATTTTGTAAAAAAATCATAACAATATTTCATGTTATTTTCTTATATACAATATTTTAAGAAATTTTGAAAAATAGTTTTAACCTAATAATCGGTTACTCGTATTATTTTAAACGATTATTCGAATAATTTTTATTTTTTTATAAAGATTTCATTATTTTTGCCTAAACTAAGAAAATCATGTATTCAAAAAGTGTTATTGGAAAAATTTAATCAATTAATCGAATACTTTTAATCGATTAATCGGATGTTTTCTAATAATCATTACAATTAATCTCGTTATTTTCTTTCAAACAATATTTTCAGAAATTTTAGAAAAAATTTTCAAACGAATAATCGGTTACTCGTATAATTTTAAACGATTATTCGAATAATTTTGAATTTTTTTTATAAAGATTTCATTATTTTAGCCTAAACTAAACCTAAAAGTGCTATTGGAAAAATTTTAATAAATTAACCGGATGTGTTGTAAAAAACATAAACATGTTTCGCGTTCTTTTCTTTTAAACAATATTTTCAGAAATTTTGAAAAATATTTTCAAACGAATAATAGATTATTCGTATAATTTTTAAAGATTATTCGAAAAATGTTTAACGATTGTTCGAATATTTTTAGTCGATTATTGAAATAATTTTTAACAAAAATTTCAATATTTTTCTCAAACATACAAATAAATTATTCGAAAAGTGCAATTGGGAAATGTTTAACCAATTAATCGGATATTTTTAACCATTTATTCGAATAATTTTAATAGATTATTCGAATAATATTCAAAAATGTTATCAATAATTTCAATGGTTGCCTTAAACTTACAAGAAAATTGTTCTGAACTTTAAAGCAAAGTTCTTTTTTTGAATTGTTTAAAAACTTTTAATAAAATATTCGATTGTTCGAATAATTTTAATCGATTATTCGAATATTTTTATCCGATAATTCGAATAAATTTAATTTTTTTTCAAAAATGTCATTATTTACTCTTATCTTATAAGAAATCTTAAAAAAAAGGATTAGAAAGAAATTTTAATCGATTACTATTTCGGATAAATCGTTAAAAAACAATCGAAAAATCGCTTATGGTTGACATAATATAAAAGATTAGAGCTTTATTTTATTAAAAACAAAATTTTCATAATTTTTTTTAAAGATTTTCAATTGAATAATCTATTATTCGAATAATTTTTATTATAATTCATTCGAAAATTCATTACATTTCATAAAAATTTTAATCGATTAATCAAAAATTTTTAATTATTTAAAATTTGATCTAAAAAATTTCCAGACATTTATAGGATTTTTTTTAAAATTTTTCATTTTATTTAATTTTAAAAATTAAGCCAAATATTCATGCAAAAAATTAGCAACTTTTCAAAATATTATTTATTTTTTACAATTATAGACATTTGTTTATTAAACTAATTATAAATACTCTTATAAAATCAAAAAACAAATATTAAAATATATTTCCTTCATAGATTTTTGCTATTTGTTAAATTCAATTTAATTTAAAATTATCTTCCAACAGATTCAAAGATTTTTATTTAACTTGTAGCAAATTCTTAACAATTCCTATTTATTATTATTTATTTAAAATAAATAAAATGTACTCGAATCTTTATTTTATTTACACTAGTTAAATAAAAGCGTTAATTTAGTAAATATATTGTTGCTATTGTCATATTTTGTTAAATTTGTTTACAAAAATTTGTTAAACATGCTAATTAAACATCGTTTTATTACTTTTTGTCATTGTACAATAAAAAAATAAAACAAACTTTAAACGTTACAATAAGAAAAGGGGAAAATTTTTATTAAATTGTTTAACACATTTGTTTTTATATTTAGTTTAATATTTAATGGATTTTACTAAATTTTTTTTCTACTTAAAAATTTCATCTGAATATCATTTTGAACTTTTTTTTTTATTTTAATTAGTTATCTTTTGTTTTGTTCAAATTTTTTTATTAATAAAATATTTTCTTATTAAGTGTAATCCTGTTAAATTTAGTTTAACAGGTTTATTTATTAAAATATTTAAGAAATAAAAACGTGAGCTTTGAAGTACTTATATGAAGCAGGCATAGAAAATTTAGTACTATTCTACTTTTGGGAATGAAAAAGTAATCTCAGTGATGGACTAGTCCATAGATTAACGAAAAGTCAAGTCCATAGACTAGTGTATAGTCTAGTCTACAGATTAGACTATTGACTGAAGTAGAACTGAACTAGATCTGAACTAGAACTAAACTAGAACTGAACTAGAACTGAACTAGGACTAGAACTGAACTAGAACTGAACTAGAACTGAACTAGAACTGAACTAGAACTGAACTAGAACTGAACTAGAACTGAACTAGAACTGAACTAGAACTGAACTAGAACTGAACTAGAACTGAACTAGAACTGAACTAGAACTGAACTAGAACTGAACTAGAACTGAACTAGAACTGAACTAGAATGACTAGACTGAACTAGAACTGAACTAGAACTGAACTAGAACTGAACTAGAACTGAACTAGAACTGAACTAGAACTGAACTAGAACTGACTAGAACTGAACTAGAACTGAACTGAACTAGAACTGAACTAGAACTGAACTAGAACTGAACTAGAACTGAACTAGAACTGAACTAGAACTGAACTAGAACTGAACTAGAACTGAACTAGAACTGAACTAGAACTGAACTAGAACTGAACTAGAACTGAACTAGAACTGAACTAGAACTGAACTAGAACTGAACTAGAACTGAACTAGAACTGAACTAGAACTGAACTAGAACTGAACTAGAACTGAACTAGAACTGAACTAGAACTGAACTAGAACTGAACTAGAACTGAACTAGAACTGAACTAGAACTGAACTAGAACTGACTAGAACTGAACTAGAACTGAACTAGACTGAACTAGAACTGAACTAGAACTGAAACTGAACTAGAACTGAACTAGAACTGAACTAGAACTGAACTAGAACTGAACTAGAACTGAACTAGAACTGAACTAGAACTGAACTAGAACTGAACTAGAACTGAACTAGAACTGAACTAGAACTGAACTAGAACTGAACTAGAACTGAACTAGAACTGAACTAGAACTGAACTAGAACTGAACTAGAACTGAACTAGAACTGAACTAGAACTGAACTAGAACTGAACTAGAACTGAACTAGAACTGAACTAGAACTGAACTAGAACTGAACTAGAACTGAACTAGAACTGAACTAGAACTGAACTAGAACTGAACTAGAACTGAACTAGAACTGAACTAGAACTGAACTAGAACTGAACTAGAACTGAACTAGAACTGAACTAGAAAAGACTATACCATAGTCCATATGTGCATAAACTGCTCAATAGACCAGTCCTTAGACAAGTAGATTATTCCATAGACTATTCAGTGTGATAGTCAATAGATTTGTCAATATAGTACATATACTAGTCAATAGTCTAGTGAATAGACTAGTCATGTCTATTCACTAAAATATTGACCAGTCCATAAACTATAAAAGAGAGAGAGAGAGGCAATGAAGTTGGTGAGTGAATAGAAACTAAAGCTTTTAAGAAATTTTTTCATAACAATGATTTTTTATCAATTCTTTTTAAAGAATATTTTTTTAAATGTTTATTTAAAAAAATACTCCTTTCAAGTGTTTATTACACTTTAAAGTTATTGTTTTTTTCTTTCTAATATTTATTTATCTAAGAATTAGTTGTTTCAATATTTTTATATGGTTCTTAAGAATGTGACACCAATTCAAGTATATAGAATTACAAAAAAAAAGTGTCGTATTACAAAATTGATTTCCTTATAAAATATTTATGATAAATATTAAAGTACTTAAGTAAAAAATCGTCTTACCTCTTCCTGTACCGGCTCGCATTGTAGTTGACTAATTGAGGGTCTCTTAATATTTCTTTGGGATAATCTATAATTACCCAAACGTGGTAAAGATTCTCTGTAAATAAAAAGAAAATTGAATGGGGGTTTTAGATAATACTGGGTTTTTTCAAATATCTTCAATAATTTTTATTTTCTCTGCATAGGGGGTAAACATTAAAAACTTCCAGATCTTATTGTTTTCTTATTTATAAATTGCTCTTAACTATTAAGCACCAAAGTTTCGACTCGTGTTGTTATTATTTATTTAGTTTTTCATTTGATTTCGAAAAACACTCTAAAATTGATAAATTTTCTAAAATATTTAACAAATATTTATATAAAAAAAAGTTCTCTAAACTTAAAGTATATTCATTACAAATTAAGAAACTTGAAAGAGTTAAATATTTATTTTAATAAACAAGTTTTTAATTGTTATTAAAAAAGAGGAATTATAAAACTGGAAAAGTATCAAAAGTTTTAAAATATCTGTTCCTTTTGTGCAAGGAGTTGAAATCAACCCCAAGTAAACAATTACGTAACCAGTGTCGTCTAAAAATCTGAATGATTCAACCATCATCTTTAAATATTACAAATAAATTATGAATAAATAATGATTTCATTGAATCATATTACTAGGAATACTCTACGGTACAGTTGTTCTCTATTTGTGGTCTATTGTATATATATTTCCAATATTTTATTTTAAAAATCTTCAGCACTTTCTTAAAACCGCAAATCTTTGCAATATTAATTATTATTTTTTTAAATTATAAAAATATAATAAAAGTGGGATTTCCAAGTAAAAAAAAAACATAAAAATAATTTAAGTCTGTTCTCAATAAAATAGACTCATTCCAATTTAGTACTAAATCTTCAAGATTTAAAAGAAAATTTTTAAAACTTTTTATATTCATTTCAAATTCAATATTTTGAAAACCTTTTTCCTAACTATGGAAAACTTTTTATCTTCTTAATAAAATATCATCCAATACAAGGTCAAAAATAATCATGTCTAATCTATCAAAATTTTTGGGTTTGGTTAAAGAAAACCTATCCCATTTTTTTTGGTGTCTATCAAAATTATAGTATTTGGGTGTATATAGTATTTTATTTCTTTAACTACATCATATGTCATATAGTTAGATTTTATTGTCTGATAAGTCTTATGACATCCAATCCATATTATTCTATTAGATCACTAGAAAACGTGATTGAAAGCAATGTGGTTTAGAAAGATAAACAACGGTTTTGTTTTGAATTTAGTATTATTTCGATAACAGAAAGGGGTGGTGGATCTATATGATTAGCTTATAAAATGTCTCCAGTTTTGATGATAATAATGTGATTCCCCTAAGTTTTCAAATATAATATAGAATGTTTTGAGTTCAGTTTATATTTTATTCTTTATTGCGATCAGCTTTTTTCACCCCCTCTTCATTCCTTCGCCACAGTTTACCTTATACAAATGAATTCCCCCGTATTCAGTTCTGTATTTAGAACAGAACTAGATCTGAACTAGAACAGAACTAGAACTGAACTAGAACTGAACTAGAACTGAACTAGAACTGAAATAGAACTGAACTAGAACTGAACTAAACTGAACTAGAACTGAACTAAAACTGAACTAGAACTGAACTAACTGAACTAAACTAGAACTGAACTAGAACTGAACTAGAACTGAACTAGAACTGAACTAGAACTGAACTAGAACTGAACTAGAACTGAACTAGAACTGAACTAGAACTGAACTAGAACTGAACTAGAACTGAACTAGAACTGAACTAGAACTGAACTAGAACTGAACTAGAACTGAACTAGAACTGAACTAGAACTGAACTAGAACTGAACTAGAACTGAACTAGAACTGAACTAGAACTGAACTAGAACTGAACTAGAACTGAACTAGAACTGAACTAGAACTGAACTAGAACTGAACTAGAACTGAACTTGAACTGAACTAGAACTGAACTAGAACTGAACTAGAACTGAACTAGAACTGAATTAGAACTGCAAAGAACAAAATTTTGTAAAATTGGGTATATTGTGTCCGATTAAATCAAAATATATGATAGCAATTTTTTGGACCTTCCGCTTTTAAGCTGTTGGTAGAATTTAATTTTTCTCAAATATTCTCTGTTAATCAGTAGTATCGAAATGGACTAAATTGGTCGTACAGGAAAAGTATCAAAACAAAATATCATTCTGTCCGTCCTTCCTCCTAAGTAAAAATGTAATAGGTTATAAATCCCGGGAATATTTAGTACAAAAGTTCGGGCAATCTGTCAACAAAAAAAAAAGAACCAGTAAAATGTTCAAGATGAAAATCATATAAGAAAAATCATTCCGAAAATATTGAACCGTTTTAAAAATTAGAAATGATTTTGTAGCAGGACAGGATAGCATAGGAGCATTACTATTAGATTCCTTTTTTGACTTATTGTTCACTAATTAAAACTTTGTACCCTTTTTATTTTTAATTATTAATAATTTGTTCAGTTTTTTCTTATTTTTCCACTTACTGAGTCAATTGAGCCAAACTAAATTTACGATCATCAGTTACGGTGGATTTTCTAGGTTTTAAAAAACTACCGAAACCACGAAAGGATATGCGTGAAGATTTGCGTGGTGGTGGATTTTGATATGTAGGAGCATTACTATTAGGCTCCTGACCATTTGTAGGAATATTTTCAGTTATAGTGGTAATATTCGGGTTAGTCCCATTGGATTTAGAAACTTGAAACCGATCAGTCATGTTGTTATAGTAGTATTTATATTCTTTTTTATTAAATTATTATTTTTTTTTATTATTTTTTAAACACTTTTTCTTTAACACTTCAAAGGATAATGTTTTATTTTATTTTTATTAAAATTTAAAAAAATTATTTTTTATCTTTCATTTCCGTTTCCGTTAATAAACATTTTTCGTTTTGATTTAAAGCTTAAAATCCTTTTACCGTATCGTGTGTGTTAACGTTTGTAAAATACGTTAACAATTAACTGCAAATTATTGATGTTAGTGGCTTTTATCGACTTTTCTTCTGCCTTTTGATTGGATTCATTCATGTGTTGCCCTTACAGGCTGTTTTTTTTTTGTTCGTTTAAATCGCAATGTTTACATTATTCGTATCAGAATAAAAAATATAATCGCTCTTTGTTTAGAATGTAGTAGTAAAAGTATTTACTCTCAATATTATTATTGTTGTTGTTATTGCTGTTATTATTAAGAGCATGTGAAAAACTGTTAAATCGATCGAAGATAACCAATTTTTTTTATAACATTAACGTCAGTCAACAAATGCAAAATGTTGTTTAAACAACAAAAAAAATTGTGTTAATCACAATATAAAGAGTGCCCGATTTAAAGCGTTTTTAAATAATTAACACTTTAACACAACACTTTTTTTCGATATTCAATTATATAAATATTTAATGTGTTTTTTGAGAACCAATCAAATTTTGGTTATTTTTGTTTGTAGGTAAGTTTGTTATTAAGAATTTGCCTGTTTGTGCGTTTTTATTTGTATACGAATAGGTTTTTTCAAAGAGTATCAGTGAGTAATGCTTACTTTATTGTCTATCTGAAAATATTATGTATGTTGGTAACATTATAGTTTGTGTAAATGTATGTAATACTACTCTCTGTTAATATTTACATCTGTTAAGATTTTTTACAGCAATATTGCAAAGGATTAATGTTATCGGATTTGTTTATTTACAATTACAGCAGCCAGATAATTATGATGAAAATCATTTTCATTTAACTTATAGTTGTTAAACATCTAACTACATGATCCCTATTAAATCCACCGGCTTATACTTATTTACAATTGTTAGTTTTAATTACTATATTTACCTTCTCTAAATACTTTCTCTCAGCATTGTACACCTGTCACGCATTATTTTTAGTTGTTTACTTTCGTTAAAGAGTTATTAAACGTTTACAATATGTTCTACATTTAATTAATAACAGTAACTAGAACTGAACTAGAACTGAACTAGAACTGAACTAGAACTGAACTAGAACTGAACTAGAACTGAACTAGAACTGAACTAGAACTGAACTAGAACTGAACTAGAACTGAACTAGAACTGAACTAGAACTGAACTTGAACTGAACTAGAACTGAACTAGAACTGAACTTGAACTGAACTAGAACTGAACTAGAACAGAACTGAACTAGAACTGAACTAGAACTGAACTAGAACTGAACTAGAACTGAACTAGAACTGAACTAGAACTGAACTAGAACTGAACTAACACTGAACTAGAACTAAACTAGAACTAAACTAGAACTGAACTAGAACTGAACTAGAACTAGAACTGATCTAGAACTGAACTGAACTAGAACTGAACTAGAACTAGAACTAGAACTAGAACTGAACTGAACTAGAACTGAACTAGAACTGAACTAGAACTGAACTAGAACTGAACTAGAACTGAACTAGAACTGAACTAGAACTGAACTAGAACTGAACTAGAACTGAACTAGAACTGAACTAGAACTGAACTAGAACTGAACTAGAACTGAACTAGAACTGAACTAGAACTGAACTAGAACTGAACTAGAACTGAACTACAACTGAACTAGAACTGAACTAGAACTGACTAGAACTGAACTAGAACTGAACTAGAACTGAACTAGAACTGAACTAGAACTGAACTACAACTGAACTAGAACTGAACTAGAACTGAACTAGAACTGAACTAGAACTAAACTAGAACTGAACTAGAACTGAACTAGAACTGAACTACAACTGAACTAGAACTGAACTAGAACTGAACTAGAACTGAACTACAACTGAACTACAACTGAACTAGAACTGAACTAGAACTGAACTAGAACTGAACTAGAACTGAACTAGAACTGAACTACAACTGAACTACAACTGAACTACAACTGAACTACAACTGAACTAGAACTGAACTAGAACTGAACTAGAACTGAACTAGAACTGAACTAGAACTGAACTAGAACTGAACTAGAACTGAACTAGAACTGAACTAGAACTGAACTAGAACTGAACTAGAACTGAACTAGAACTGAACTAGAACTGAACTAGAACTGAACTAGAACTGAACTAGAACTGAACTAGAACTGAACTAGAACTGAACAATATTGCAATTTGAATAAATTTTTATTTTGAAGAATATTTCATATTAAATATTTATTAAACATTTTCTAAAAATGTTAAGGTCTTTCGCCATAAAACAATAAAGACATGTCTTTATTTGCACAAATAAACATTTATGTAGCTTCTTCCAGCAATTACTCATTTGTGGTCGTTCGCAATATTTATTACTTTTATTTCGAAAAATGTGAGAGAAATGAACTACTATTGCTACTGCTAACAGTTTCTGCGATATACATACATTATTTCTCAATTGGTAACAGTAATAAAATCGCATTTAACAGATTTTTATCGGTTTTATCTGGTTTTGGCAGACAAAAGGCTTTTTATTGTTGTTATATTTTATTTGAAATACCATTAAATCACTTTTCTACCTATGATTGTATTAATTTATTGTTTGTATTTAATTTTCTCACCTTTGCACTAACAATGCAAGAGTTCATATCAATAAAAATTTAAATAATTCAAATTTAACAGACAATTATAGAAAATGCAAATAATCAAAAAAAAACGTCATTTAGAGAAGCCTTGTAGTGTTTGATCGATTGTATTTTATGTTCGAAATGCCTTTACATTAGTTTAGTTATTTTAAATAAATTACCTTTTAATTTTACTCTATAAATCTTATCAGTCAATTGTCATAAGTTAGTTTAAACACTTCATTTTGGATGTAATATTTATTTACTTCTCTCGTCAGCAATTTTAATGTTAGTGACCTTTTTTATAGGAAAAAATGTCGGAATATATATTTCAAGATTTAAGTACGTATGTAGACAGGAATAGATAATGTCTAAAATGCATATGTAATAGATAAGAGCAATTGATTGAATGCTTAAAACTCGATTAGCAGTTTCTTATCAAAATCTTAATGAAGCAAATTAATTTCAAAATATTTTCTGTAAACTTTAGTGCAATTTTTTTATTTTATTGCAGATTTATAAATTTATTTAGGAAAATAGAATATACATTCCGTAAGAAATCAAGGTTTAACCTTAAAACTCGTCTATGATAGTATCGATTTCCACAAGTACATATGTATGTAGTTCAGTTCCAGTTTAGTTCAGTTCTAGTTCATTCCTAGTTCAGTTCCAGCTCATTCCTAGTTCAATTCTAGTTCATTCCTAGTTCAGTTCCAGCTCATTCCTAGTTCAATTCTAGTTCAGCTCGAAAATCCGTAAAGCGGAAAAGCTGTTATAAAAATATTGACAATAATTTTCACTTTTTTTAGCTTGTTGGTAAACAAATAATAACAATAATATTAATAATTATCGTAAAATAATAACAAAATAATATTTGATTGAAGGTGGGAATATAAACATTTGTAAACCGTCATTTTCTACACTTATTAACATTTTGTATTTGTCATTCTTTGTTTTTATTATAAAATAAAGCAAATAAGCCATAATAAAAAAAGTTTAAAATTTAAAACATAAAAATTTTAAAAAATATTTGCCATTCTAAACCAGTTCTAAAATAACTACATCAATTTACATTAGAATGTTTCTTAAAAACATTTAACCAACACTTAATTTTAGGTAAAATCTCAATAATAAAATGATGAATAATTTTCAAATGTACCGCAACATCTTGTTCATCAGGAATTTAATCCATCTGATAGGTGTGTATAAAAATTATAAAACTAATTATGAGAGGTTAGTGGTATCTTTTATTAATTAATTGGTTTATTTTATTTATAATTATTACTTTTAATTTTATAAACAGAGAGATATTGATTCATTTACTTGCACTTATCGAATTGTGAAGAAATATATTTATATAAAATAGAATATTCTGATAATCAAGAAATAGTCAGACAAAGTGGCACGCAAACACAGATACACGAACTCGATTGTCAATATAGCGGTTTTTATGTTAAAATTAGAGCTTTTAGGAAGATCTTTTTAATAAACTAAACACTCTGGTTTAGTTCACATTGAGTTCTAGTTCAGTTCTAGTTTAGTTCTAGTTTAGTTCTAGTTTAGTTCTAGTTTAGTTCTAGTTTAGTTCTAGTTCAGTTCTAGTTCATTTCTAGTTCAGTTCTGTTCTAGTTCAGTTCTAGTTAAGTTCTAGTTCAGTTCTAGTTCAGTTCTAGTTCAGTACTAGTTCAGTTCTAGTTCAGTTCTAGTTCAGTTCTAGTTCAGTTCTAGTTCAGTTCTAGTTCAGTTCTAGTTCAGTTCTAGTTCAGTTCTAGTTCAGTTCTAGTTCAGTTCTAGTTCAGTTCTAGTTCAGTTCTAGTTCAGTTCTAGTTCAGTTCTAGTTCAGTTCTAGTTCAGTTCTAGTTCAGTTCTAGTTCAGTTCTAGTTCAGTTCTAGTTCAGTTCTAGTTCAGTTCTAGTTCAGTTCTAGTTCAGTTCTAGTTCAGTTCTAGTTCAGTTCTAGTTCAGTTCTAGTTCAGTTCTAGTTCAGTTCTAGTTCAGTTCTAGTTCAGTTCTAGTTCAGTTCTAGTTCAGTTCTAGTTCAGTTCTAGTTCAGTTCTAGTTCAGTTCTAGTTCAGTTCTAGTTCAGTTCTAGTTCAGTTCTAGTTCAGTTCTAGTTCAGTTCTAGTTCAGTTCTAGTTCAGTTCTAGTTCAGTTCTAGTTCAGTTCTAGTTCAGTTCTAGTTCAGTTCTAGTTCAGTTCTAGTTCAGTTCTAGTTCAGTTCTAGTTCAGTTCTAGTTCAGTTCTAGTTCAGTTCTAGTTCAGTTCTAGTTCAGTTCTAGTTCAGTTCTAGTTCAGTTCTAGTTCAGTTCTAGTTCAGTTCTAGTTCAGTTCTAGTTCAGTTCTAGTTCAGTTCTAGTTCAGTTCTAGTTCAGTTCTAGTTCAGTTCTAGTTCAGTTCTAGTTCAGTTCTAGTTCAGTTCTAGTTCAGTTCTAGTTCAGTTCTAGTTCAGTTCTAGTTCAGTTCTAGTTCAGTTCTAGTTCAGTTCTAGTTCAGTTCTAGTTCAGTTCTAGTTCAGTTCTAGTTCAGTTCTAGTTCAGTTCTAGTTCAGTTCTAGTTCAGTTCTAGTTCTAGTTCAGTTATAGTTCAATTGAAGTTCAGTTATAGTTATAGTTTCGTTCTAGTTCTTGTTCAGTTCTAGCTTTACTTCAGTTCTAGTTCAGTTCTGGATCAGTTATAGTTCCGTTCTAGTTCTTGTTCAGCTCTAGCTTTAATTCAGTTCTAGTTAAGTTTTAGTTCAAAATTTGACAATCACATACAAAGTTTATTAGTACTATTAATTTAGTAGTAAACCAATTTTGTGACTAATTGGCATCATCGACCACAAATTCGAACAAATTCTTGCATCTTCTGCGACTTTCAACCAGAAAGTTTTGTTAATTATTAACTTTGTTAAAACAAATATGAAACAGTTTTTTTAATTGTTTACTTTGTATATTTTATAAACTAAATATCTGTATTGGTTGCTTCTGTCATTTTAATGATAAACAAGTAAAAACCAATTAAAACTAGCAAATACTAAAAAATTTAATTTTATCGTAATATTAATGAAACAGATTACACCAACATATTATTTGGGTGTTTAAAATAAACTTTCAAGGAAAAAAATAAATTTAATTTTTTAAAGCATAAACTTTTTGTTAACTAAATATGTTTATTCATTTTCAGGTTATTTTGCTTACGGTAAGTCCATTTACACATTTTATATCTGGAATGTTTCATTCCTCTTGTATAGAGGGTAGTATTGGTATTAAAATCTGGCTCTCATTTCAAAAACTTTTATTACAAAAATAACACTCAACTTTGTTAATCAATAGATTGTCGCTTTTAGTGGACTTTCTTAAAAATCCTTAATTTTGACTTTTAACTAAACTACTAACATTGACTGCAACAGTTCAAATTAAAGTTCATTTTAGACATTTTATATAAAAGCTTCAAAATGAGACAAAAATTAATAATCCAGACACACTCCATTTAACTAGACAAGTATTTATGTTTCCACTTGTTTTTAGTGATTTTTTTAACAAAATGTTAATTGATTGTATCAATAATTGTATCATTATTTAAAATAAGTATATTTTTTATTTAGCATTTTATTATAGACTATTATTTTAATATTTATTACAACTAGGCTAAAATCGGTCACAGTCAAAGTCAGTTTTCACACATTTTATCTCCCTCCAGCAATGAATGGTTTTTGCTAATAAATGGCACGAGTTATTTTGACGTAGCCCAGTACTTGTTTATATAAAAATTAAATTTATGTTGAGTTTTTTTAGTAATATCATTATTTAAATTTTATTTAACATTTATTCGAGATTTTAGGATTTTTTATCTTAAATAGGTTTAATTTTTTATACTTAATATTAAAAACATTTATCTTTTAGAATTTTTGTTAAATTTTTTCTTATATTTGGTTTACAGTTTTTTTCACATTTAATTTGTTAACTTTCATTTAGTAATTTATTGTGTGTTTTTTTTACATTTTAAACAAAATTGTATTTTTTGAGTAATATTTTGAGCGTTTTCTTTTGTGGTTTGTTTAATTTCATAATAGTTAGTAATTAAAATCGAAATTTTTAATATCAATCTGTTTGATATTTCAAACATGTTAACAAGGTGGTTTTTATTTATTTTTACATTTTATGAGCAATTATATCATAAACTTGTTTCTTAAAAAAAAAAACTTGCACGATTTTCTTTCAAAATTTTCCCAAAAGTTTGTTTAAAAATTCTTAGGATTTTAAACTTTTGAAAATTTTATAAAAAGAAATGTTTTTAAAATTTATTATTATGAAGAAAGACTCTATCGAAAGAAACTTCTATAAAACGTGTCTGAACTACAAGAAAGTTTCTTCGAAAGTAATTTCTCTATAAAAGGGTCTGATCTACATATGAACTATAACTAATAACTGAACTAAACTGAACTAGAACTGAACTAGAACTGAACTAGAACTGAACTAGAACTGAACTAGAACTAAACTAGAACTGAACTAGAACTGAACTAGAACTGAACTAAACTGAACTAGAACTGACTAGAACTGAACTAGAACTGAACTAGAACTGAACTAGAACTGAACTAAACTGACTAGAACTGAACTAGAACTAGAACTTGAAACTAGAACTGAACTAGAACTGAACTAGAACTGAACTAGAACTGAACTAGAACTGAACTAGAACTGAACTAGAACTGAACTAGAACTGAACTAGAACTGAACTAGAACTGAACTAGAACTGAACTAGAACTGAACTAGAACTGAAACTAGAACTGACTAGAACGGAACTAGAACTGAACTAGAACTGAACTAGAACTGAACTAGAACTGAACAACTTAGAAACTGAACTAGAACTGAAACTAGAACTGACTAGAACTGAACTAGAACTGAACTAGAACTGAACTAGAACTGAACTAGAACTGAACTAGAACTGAACTAGAACTGAACTAGACTGAACTAGAACGGAACTAGAACTGACTAGAACTGAACTAGAACTGAACTAGAACTGAACTAGAACTGAACTAGAACTGAACTAGAACTGAACTAGAACTGAACTAGAACTGAACTAGAACTGAACTAGAACTGAACTAGAACTGAACTAGAACTGAACTAGAACTGAACTAGAACTGAACTAGAACTGAACTAGAACTGAACTAGAACTGAACTAGAACTGAACTAGAACTGAACTAGAACTGAACTAGAACTGAACTAGAACTGAACTAGAACTGAACTAGAACTGAAACTAGAACTGAACTAGAACTGAACTAGAACTGAACTAGAACTGAACTAAACTGAACTAGAAATGAACTAGAACTGAACTAGAACTGACTAGAACTAAACTAGAACTGAACTAGAACTGAACTAGAACTGAACTAGACTGAACTAGAACTGAACTAGAACTGAACTAGAACTGAACTAGAACTGAACTAGAACTGACTAGAACTGAACTAGAACTGAACTAGAACTGAACTAGAACTGAACTAGAACTGAACTAGAACTGAACTAGAACTGAACTAGAACTGACTAGAACTAGAACTAGAACTGAACTAGAACTGAACTAACTGAACTAGAACTGAACTAGAACTGAACTATGAACTGAACTAGAAACTGAACTAAGACTGACTGAACTAGAACTGAACTAGAACTGAACTAGAACTGAACTAGAACTGAACTAGAACTGAACTAGAACTGAACTAGAACTGAACTAGAACTGAACTAGAAACTGAACTAGAACTGAACTAGAACTGAACTAGAACTGAACTAGAACTGAACTAGAACTGAACTTGAACTGAACTTTGAAACCCACTATTCTAGGAAAAGTTTTTTATAAGAAAACTTGTTATGTTCTAGTTTCCGCAAATTGGCCAAGTTTAAGCTTTTAACCCAATTCACATCCTGATTTATTCTAAATTTTAATCAAATTTAAGAAAATTCTTTCCGTACCCTGTTTCTTTACAAAATTTGTCTTTCTAGGTGGTTGTTTTTTATAACTTCCTAAACACATGTTTAATTATTAATAAATAACATTAAATATACATTTATAATCTTTTAACTTTTTAATTTAGGTTTTAAAAAATTTTGCTAATTTGTTTTTGCTTTAAATTCTAACAAATTTTCATTAATTTCTCTTACAAAGTAATAAAACAATTTTCAATTTAAATCTTTGGTTTCAAATTTGTAACAATTTCTTACTGTTTGTCTATCCCTTCTTAAACTACCAAATGTGAGACATCACTTGTATAACCTGGTGAATATTTCGGTGGCATTAAATTACCCGGTTGTTGTTTAATTCTACCCAATAGGGGTCCATGTACCTTGGGTGAATGTTTAGGTTTGGAAGGATCTAAGTAACGGCGATTTCTTAACATATCATTGTGATCACCTATCCAAGCATTTTCAGGTGCTCTAGGTCCTAAACGATGATAACGTCTTTTGTCCACCGAATAGCTAATGGTTCCGGGGTTAGCATTTAGACCCACATTATATTGTCGCTGCATGGCCAGGGAAGTGCGAATGGTTTTGCGTTTCTATTGTGGAAATTGTTAATTAGTGTTAACGAAATTATTTGATTTTTTTAGTTAAATTACCTCTATGGTTCCTCTCCATTTAGCGGCAGCATGTCTGGCTATAATCCATTTCGTTTTTGTTTTTTTCACTTGATGTCGTTTGTATATCACCCTCGATTATAATCCAGACCAACTCCTATTGCTACGCCTGCTGCCACTAATATGAAACACCCCGCCATATTCTTTAAAACCCAAAGTAATTGGGCGTCTTTTCAAATTGTTCAATTGCTGGGCATTCCCATGGAAATCCAAGCCTTATCTAGAGCCTCCATGAAACCGCCTAGATTATGTAAAAGATCAAAATCATAAACATGTAAATAATAGTTTTTGTTCTTAGCGTAATAACTGCGAGATTGCTAGAAAGGAAAACACAGGTTGTGACAAGTCTTTGACCAACGGAAAAACTAGAACTGAACTAGAACTGAACTAGATCTGTACTAGGGACTGACTAGAACTGAACTAGAATTGAACTAGAACTGAACTAGAACTGAACTATAGAACTGAACTAGAAACTGAACTAGAACTGAACTAGAACTGAACTAGAACTGAACTAGAACTGAACTAGAACTGAACTAGAACTGACTACTAGAACTGAACTAGAACTGAACTAGAACTGAACTAGAACTGAACTAGAACTGAACTAGAACTGAACTAGAACTGAACTAGAACTGAGCTAGAACTGAACTAGAACTGAACTAGAACTGAACTAGAACTGAACTAGAACTGAACTAGAACTGAACTAGAACTGAACTAGAACTGAACTAGAACTAGAACTGAACTAGAACTGAACTAGAACTGAACTAGAACTGAACTAGAACTGAACTAGAACTGAACTAGAACTGAACTAGAACTGAACTAGAACTGAACTAGAACTGAACTAGAACTGAACTAGAACTGAACTAGAACTGAACTAGAACTGAACTAGAACTGAACTAGAACTGAACTAGAACTGAACTAGAACTGAACTAGAACTGAACTAGAACTGAACTAGAACTGAACTAGAACTGAACTAGAACTGAACTAGAACTGAACTAGAACTGAACTAGAACTGAACTAGAACTGAACTAGAACTGAACTAGAACTGAACTAGAACTGAACTAGAACTGAACTAGAACTGAACTAGAACTGAACTAGAACTGAACTAGAACTGAACTAGAACTGAACTAGAACTGAACTAGAACTGAACTAGAACTGAACTAGAACTGAACTAGAACTGAACTAGAACTGAACTAGAACTGAACTAGAACTGAACTAGAACTGAACTAGAACTGAACTAGAACTGAACTAGAACTGAACTGAACTAGAACTGAACTGAACTAGAACTGAACTCAACTAGAACTGAACTGGAACTAGAACTGAACTAGAACTGAACTCAACTAGAACTGAACTGGAACTAGAACTGAACTAGAACTGAACTAGAACTGAACTAGAACTGAACTAGAACTGAACTAGAACTGAACTAGAACTGAACTAGAACTGAACTAGAACTGAACTAGAACTGAACTAGAACTGAACTAGAACTGAACTAGAACTGAACTAGAACTGAACTAGAACTGAACTAGAACTGAACTAGAACTGAACTAGAACTGAACTAGAACTGAACTAGAACTGAACTAGAACTGAACTAGAACTGAACTAGAACTGAACTAGAACTGAACTAGAACTGAACTAGAACTGAACTAGAACTGAACTAGAACTGAACTAGAACTAAACTAGAACTAAACTAGAACTGAACTAGAACTGAACTAGAACTGAACTAGAACTGAACTAGAACTGAACTAGAACTGAACTAGAACTGAACTAGAACTGAACTAGAACTGAACTAGAACTGAACTAGAACTAAACTAGAACTACACTAGAACTACACTAGAACTGAACTAGAACTGAACTAGAACTGAAGTAGAACTAAAGTAGAACTGAAGTAGAACTGAACTAGAACTGAACTAGAACTGAACTGAACTAGAACTGAACTAGAACTGAACTAGAACTGAACTAGAACTGAACTAGAACTGAACTAGAACTGAACTAGAACTGAACTACAACTGAACTAGAACTAAACTAGAACTACACTAGAACTGAACTAGAACTGAACTAGAACTGAAGTAGAACTAAAGTAGAACTGAAGTAGAACTAAAGTAGAACTGAAGTAGAACTGAACTAGAATTGAACTAGAACTGAACTATAACTTGAACTGAAGGTACTGGAAGATGATCAAATCTGGCTAGATTTCAAGGAAATTTAAATTTTTACTCACTTTCATGAAACTCCAAAATCGTTAAAGTTACAGCATCCGTCCAAGGAGAACCTTTTTGCAAACCAATGCCATAACCACTGCGACCAAATAGCTCTCCTGCCGTAACCAATTCACAATCTTTAGAGGCTTCGTACTCCAAACGTGAAGAGTCCCATATAAAAGCCATCAATTTGCTAAAAAAAAATCAAAATAAAAATAAAAGTCATTTAAACAAAACTAAAGCAACAATAACTTACCCCTTCTTAACATCCTCTATGGCCTTCTCAGCAGTATCATAGTTATTCGCCTCCATGGTACGATACATATTCGATAACTCCACCTGACGTCTAAAATACATATCGACCGAAGAGCCCTTTACTGTGGCGCAGGTCAAATTTTCCATGGTATTACGTAAACGAGCATCGTTAATACCACTCAATTTTGTTTTCGGGCGCTCCAACACGAGGAAAGCGGCCAAGTTGGCAGTATACGAAGCAACAATGATCATAGCAAAACCAGCCCAAACCATGCCCAAAACACGAGCCGAAAAACTGCGTGGTGTGCCCTCACCTATGCCACTGTTCAGCAGAACACCCCAGGCAAACCAGATGGCCGAACTTAAATTTAAAGCCTTCTCTTCATGACTATCAACATGAGAAAGTTTAAAACGTCCAAATGGAGAAAATCTATGAGAGACAAGGAATTAAATAAATTCTTTATTAATTCCCAAAGCTGCCACTAGTTTAGTTACATTATGGAAAAAATATATTATAACTCAGAACCTCAAACCTAAGTGCTTGAATTAAGTTCTTTAAAAGAGATAGAGAGATAGAGAGATTACAAAAAAAGTATAAAGTGCTTTAAAAACATGCTCTTTGTTAAGAAAGAGTTATTATCATTATGACAAAAAAGAGAAAGAGATTTTTATTGAATTAAAATTACTCTAGAAAATTAAATTGGTTTTGAATGTTGGGAAGAAGGACCATGCTTGAATTCTTACTTTAAAAGTTGGAATAATTTTGCAACTGTTTAAGGAAACTTACCTATCCAGCAAATAGAGAACTAGAGCCACTACATGTACCGACACCATTACCAATATCCAAAGCGTGTTACTAAATGGTTGCAAGAAAGACACTAAAGTACTCGAACGTGATGGTTTCTTTTCGAGTATTGTAATGCCTTGATATTTGAAAGGTTTCGAAAATTCTATATATTCGGCACGCTCTGGATTAATGGTTAGTGGTGCTACAATCATGTCGGCTCGTTCATTCACCAGTTCGCCAATTAAACCTGTCCATTCTTTTTCGTCGAAGAGGACATGGTGCCGGTAGTGGAATTTTTTAATATATAATGACCAAATTGTCCATCGGGGGAAAGACCCAATTCATAGGTAAAATTTATGCGATGTGATAAGGCTTTAAGTAGATCTATACAATAGCCACGGCAACAGTAATCGTTTTCTGTTAGAAGAAATATGTATTTTTTTTTCAATAATTTCTTTCCTCTGTGGTTCACTTCTTACTTACCCACTCCATTACTGGTATTGAATAAAGGACAAGGCACCTCCTCTTCTGCACAATTTACCTCATCATCTGTTAAACGTCTTACATAGACAAATGGTTTCTCTTCTATGGTCAGCACTTTTAAATGTGTGGGTATCATTATACCTTCCGGTTTCTTTCTCTCTTTTCCTGGCCATATAATTTGACTATCATTGATGGTCAAGCGCATCATACCTTTATCCTAAGGGTTAATGATATTTTTTATATTTTAATTTGAATATTACTAAGTCCCACTTACCGGATCATAATAGAACTTTCCTACAACTTGTTTCTTTTGTTTGGGTCTAATATTGATTACATCATAACCGGCATATATACGATCACCATTATCATCGAATGCCACCTGACCGGTTTCTCCTGTTATATTACGGGTTCTGAGGTAGTGAAAAAGACGTTTTCCTAGAAGAGATTAGAAACGAAAGATTTCAGAATAATACGAAGTTCTCGAGTGATAATCGGGAAAAGTTATCATAATATAACTATCTATATATATTTGGGAAAAGAACAAGATATTCCTGATCAATTTGATGGATGTTATAGAAGATTTACAAAAGAACAAACATCTAATCAGGACAGATCCGTGACGAAAAAATTGATCATGCTAAAACCTCAAAGATTTCTAGGAAAAGCGATCATTATTTATATTAAATATTCTTGATCACATTTACGAAAAAAGACGTTTTAGAGTGATGCAATGATCTCAGAAGATCTATTTTAAAGATGTCAGTCAAGAAAATCACAGAAGATAAAGTTCATTAAGTTTATAGAGATTGTAGAATAAAATGAAGAAATCATCTGAAGATCACAAGAAAAATGTGATCATACAAAAACTAGAAAGATCTCTAGAAAACGAAAACGATCATCGTAGAAATGCTCTAGATCAGTTTCATGAAAATTGTACATATTGCAAAGCTATAGTTAAGGAAATCATTGAAGAGAGCGTTCTTTCCACTTCATCTTGAGAAATGTCGAACAAATGATCATATTGAAACTAGAAAGATCTGTGGAAAGGAACAACTTCGTAATTATAAAACTGAGTTTTATTTTATTTTTTGCTCAAAATCATTTTGTGAACGAAATAGTGATCACAGAGTTATATAGTTTTCGCTCTATCTCTTATAGTTTCCCAGAAAAGTAGATACTTAAGTGTTCTACTCAAATCTGATCTCTGACCTCTGGTTTTTTATCATATATTATTTCAATTATGTTCCTCTACTCCTTTCAAGACAACTTACCTGATTCCCAATTAACACCCGAATCATCACAATTCTTTGGTGGTTCGGTAAGTGTTTCATTTTTCATCATTTCCTTAATAGCTGAAGCCAAAACGTAAACTGAATCCTTAAAAAGAAACAAAAAAACGCCAATAACATAAACAAATAGATTACACTAACTAACCCTTATATGTCTTTTATCACTATTAACATGCTCCAGTTGTAGACCCAAAACACCATCTGGTGTATTATTGGCACTTAAGGCTTGTTCAGTGACAATCCAAACATGACCACCCTCAGTCATGTTGTAGATAGCAGCATCACGGAAAATCACTTGGGCATCTTCAGTGCTGCAAAAAAAATCCAAAATAGATTTTTATAATTTCTCTATTAGAAATAATAGCAATTCTCTTACCTCGCATAAACCAAATACACACGACTCTGTGCTGTTTTCATATCAATCAAATGTTCAGCAAAACTTTCTAATTTTGGCTCAAATTCCACAATCATTTCCACAGTGGCTCTAACATCGATGTCATCGTAATAGTTCTGGGAGGTGGTTTGAAATCTACCCAATATGGCACGACCATCTGTATCCGAACTGTGTATTATAATTACCTAAATGTTGGAACACAGAGAATAAACCAAAGGAAACCTATTAAGTTATTGTCCCTTAGGATTTTTTGTTATATGGTTTACCTTTGTATAACTAAAATGATTTAACATTTCCAACCAAACATCAGCCTG